ATATATATATTCTTTTCTTTATCATATTCATCACAAATAACATATTTTTAAAAAACAAAACGTAATTTATTAAAAAAACAAATTTTTTTTAAGAACTCTAAAATCGAGCCAAAGAACACATAAATTTTAGAGTCAAAATCAACCCCAAATCTTTCATTTTTTTAACAAATTGACATGGGGATATGATAGATACTTCAATTAAGATTAAATGCCCCAAATTTCATGAAGATTAATTGACTAGTGAGATCTTTATTCAAAAAATTACTGATTTTTCACTTCATGAAAATATCAGGAAAAAAACGCAGCAAAAAAAAATCGATATAAAAAAATTTAATCAATAGTAAATCAAAGTAACTATTTTATTTGATAGATAATGCCTTTATGATCAAACTTCAGTGATCAATTCGATAAAATTGTTTCAATTTATCAATCAAATATCAATTTGTTTGGATAAAAAACAGTTCTTCGAGCAGCAGTACTTGGGGCCCAAAAAACCTCAAATCTTCATTTTTTTGGAAAAACTTAAATATGTAAACATTGAATCATTCAACAATTAATCAAAGCCCTCTATTTTTATGAAAATTTATGAGGTATTGAAGCAGCATTTAATAGAATGGCGGAAATTTCTAATTTTCAAAAATCCCCATTTCAATCTGCCAAGAACTCTTTGTTTTTTGATTCTTGATTCAATAATCTATGATTTATAGAAACTTTCAAGTGTATACAACAATATTTGACTGAAAAACAAAAAAAACTGGAAAATGGAATAAAAACTAAGCTGCAAAATATTGTTCTGTGAAAAATAACGGGCATGTGTCAAATAACGGCCATTATTTGATGCATTAAAACGACGTTATATCAGTGTTAAAACGGTAAACCGGACCGGTTAGAAAAACCAGTCGGTTTGATCTAAATACCGCCGGTTCGACCTCGAAACGGCCGGTTTTGGTCCCGATTTTTTTTTGAAATGTTCCGTCATATGTGGTGTGCCATAAAACCGGCCCTAACCGAACTCGCCACCCCACCGGTAGCGATCTGACAGGCCGGTTCCGGTTCTAACCGGCCGGTTTTGCGAACACTAGCTCCACCTCCTATGAGATTATTTGGATACAATGCAAATTGAGAAAAAATATTATTTGGATGTGTTGCAGTATATGCAACATAGGTTTTCCTCATAATACCTCTTATTACCAACACAACATTAATTCAATCATGACTGCTAGTGACCCTTTATTCCATGACCGCACTAAACACATGAAGGTAGACTGTCATTGTTTCTGCTTAAGTCATTGTTTCTGCTTAAGAATGAGAGTGGATCGAACCTTTTTATGATTTTTTTTATGTATTTTTCTTGTCATAAAAGATTAAATTTAATCTCAATTCATGTCACCTCAAATGATCAATTGGGACTTGGGATGTATCCTTACCAAGGTTATGACCAAATCATACTACTAATTTCAGTAGGGAAACCAGTGATCTTGAATTCCATTGTATCAAACTATCAGTTTCACAAGGAGTATTAGAAAGGGTATTCTATTGTGAGTACACCTATTGTATTATTTGTCTTGTACATGGTCTTTGTTATAAGTCTGGCAATGGGCCAAGGTTGGGCCGGTCTAGCCTTGGCCCTAGTTTATACAAGGCTGTCCCTAGCCCGGACGTGCCCTGACTAGGCGGAAGAGGACCTATCTAGGCACTAGCGTTTTACACTAGACCAAGCCAAATATAAACCAAGGAGAGAGAGAGAGAAAGAGAGAGGAACAAGGAAGAAAAGCCCATGACGGCCCAAATTGGGCTGGGCCCTTTGTCCAGGCCGGCCCCTTCGTAGCCCTAGCCCTGGCCCTGGCCCTGGCCCTCAGGCCACATCTTGTGGACAAGGCCCTTGTTTTTTAGGGCCAGGCCACCAGGCGCATTGCCACCCCTAGCCATTATATGTATCACCTCCATTTTTTTACGTTCGACTAAGGAATTTTATTTACAATTCACTATATATGTAACATATAAAATTGTAACTTAATCCCTCGAGCTCCCCCCACCCCCTGCAATATAAGAGTGCTGAAGCTAGATTTATTTGCCCCATTTCCTTATTCAACAAGAGTTTGAAAATAAGGAAAGTGAATAATCTTTGGTACACATGTTACACTAGCAGACTTAAAAAGAGCCAACCACAACAATTAGGAAAGAAAACTGCAAAGACAAATCAATGGAAATCTAAAAAAGATGCATAGCATAAGTAATATTGCTTCTCTATTTTAACAATCAAAAAGCAATAAGCTTCAACATTTGACTTATTTTCTAATGCATTTCTAGTCTTTGTATCAGGTGATCTATCATCGTTCCCATCTTGTGTTCATCAGAAGCATACACTTAATACTTTGTTAAACTAAATGAATTTTCTCTCACTGAACTCCCACATATCACACAAAAAGATGAATAATTAAAATAAAAAGTGACAATTAAGAAACTACCCAAAAATACTATTCATCATTAAAATAAAAACTGTATGACAATTAAGAAACTATCCAAAATACACTTTTTATCATTAAATAACAGCCCAAACATTTAGTCACAGTCAGCCAAATCACAAGCAAATCAATTATCAAAAGAAGAAACACAAACCAATCAACAAAATAGAATGATATCCAGCTCTCATTCTACCAACTGAAATTATTAAATCAATTCCAAACCGTGAAACAAAAATAAATTACTGAAAAATAACAAAAATTTGATAAAATCCATTCCCTATCAGTAATCCCCATTCATTAAAAAGACGGTTTGATTCTCTGATTCAAAAGAAATCCATATATAAGCCTAAAGGAAAGGAAATGAAAGAAAAAAATAAAGTAAAACATTGGATTTTAATGAATTCCATAAAACAAGGTCAATAATCCCAGTATTCAAGAAATTTCGGCAACACCCACGGCAGAAAACTTCGTAAAAAATGGTAAAATTTGATATTCGTCATTTTCTTGTCAATTTCCATCAAATGAAAATCATAACAATCAAACAATAAGAAACAGAACTAAAAACCAATGTCTCAAAGAGATTGTGGAAACAAATAAAAGGAAAATCAATATAAAAAAAAAATGGTATGGTCTGAATTACGATAAAACAAGTGGGGAATCTGGGGTAATGGGTTTTGATATCGAATAACAATGCAGATAAAATTGGGGGAAAATTTAGAGAGAGAATAGAAGAGGAGACTCACTGAAGAAGAGGAGGCCTGCAAAAGCTCCAGCAAAGGAAGAGTACACAAATCGTCGTAAGGTGAGATCAATGCATTCGTCCCATTTAGACACAATATCCAACTGTGATACCATTTCCTCGCCCTCCCCCATTTTCCAATCTCTCTCTCTAGACCAAAATGCTCTGCTGCCTCTCTCTCACTTCGGTTAAAATCGTGCTTTCATTTGTGCTGATTTTTATGACTAAACTATCCCTACGTAATGCCTAGAAATAACTCTAGTTACCCTTTCGGGCTAGTTTCATAGTATACACTCTAGGCACCTTTGGGGTGTGTTCCATAACCGGAAGCCATTGCTTCCCGATGCTGCGGCTTCTGGTTATTCTAGCACTTTTCATGAGTAGTGGCTAGGGGTAGCAATAGACCCTACTAGATATGGGACCCGATAGGTATACCCTGTTGAGGATTGATGTCTTGTATTCTGAGAAAATAAATCTATCAAGGTAGAGTCAAAAGGACGATTTCGCAGGGCTGTTAAAAGCTTAAAGGGCTTGAGGCTTGGATGAGTGTCCGACCCGATAGACTCGGTTGACTCGGCCCATACGGTTCGAAAGCGGCAGCCCCTGAGGAAAATTTCAGATATCCGTATCTGGGATTCGATATATATCAATACATGTGGTATTTCGATAATTTGTATCATCCATCTGGAACTCGATATATATTATTGCGATGGTTTTTTTAGGGTTAAGAGAAAAAAACACAGATCTCTTTTTAATCAGAGAGAGCAGAGATGCGTGATAAAGATAGCTATCGTAACCCTATTCTCTATTGTTAGTAAAGAAACTCTCATCTCATGTGGATGTAAGTATGTTGCCGAACCACGTATATATTTGCGTTGTCGTTTGTTGTCTCTATCTTTTGTGTTTGTTTCTTCTTTCTTGTTAACATTGATTCATTTTTCGTTTCTACATACCCGACCTTGGGTCTAAGATGGATCTAAATTTTGAACCTGAATCGTAGGGTATATGATAGCAATCATGTGTCTTTGGGCGCGTGCTAAGTGTTTATATTGTTATAATATTAGCAACATTTACAGTATTATTGGTAAAAAAATAAGAAATAGTTATATAATATATGATAGTAAAAACAAAAAAAAAAAACTCATAGTCATAGGGTGGCAATGGATCCGACCAGACTCAGGATCCGACGGGTTCGAATGTGGATCTAAATTTTGGACCCGAATACTATTTGGGTCTAGGTCCGGGTCTAGGCAGATCCAACCGGTACTCGACTCGTTGCCACCCCTAACTAGTGCAATGTTGTTTTAAAAGCTATAAATTTACTGCGACCCACAAAATAGTGTTAAAATGGGGAAATCGCCTATGGAAGCTGCGACTTTTGAAGCTCGTGAAAGAGCAACCACGACAGCCTTTTGTCCACCCAACAAACACACCCTTGGTTTGTTGGAAATTTCGATACCAGATAAAAATTTTAATTCACTAAGGGCCGTTTGTATCCCTGGATATTTCAAACCCGGTAAAAGTCAATCCTATAATTGAGATTTACTAGAACATGGTGTATACTGTTTGGATCGCATTTGGAAGGAATAGAAATCAAGAAAATGCAAATTTCCTATTTGGATTGCCTATAGTATCTTTTTTTGGAAATACAAATCATTTCCCTTTAAAAATTTTGAGATAGTTTTCCTCTCAAAAATTTATGTAAAATTTTAATACAATCTCTTTCAAAGACTTAAATTTTAAAATAGTCTCTCTCTCTAAAAATTTTGAGACAGTTTCTCTCTCTAAAATTTTGAGATATTTTCTCTCTCTAAAACTTAAAATTTGAGATAGTTTCTTTTTATAAAAATTTTGAGATATTTCTCTCTAAACAATTTCAAGTAGTTTCTCTCTCTAAAATTTGAAGGTACTTTCTCTATCTAAAACTTAAAATTTGAGATAGTTTCTTTCTAAAATTTTTGAAATGTTTCTCTCTAAGAAATTTTAAGTACTTTCTAAAATTTGATATAGTTTCTCTATTAGAAAATTTTAAGATATTTTCTCTCTCTAAAAATTAAATTTTGATATAGTTTCTCTCTCTAAAATTTTCATGTAGTTCCTCTATTTAAAATTTTAATAAACTTTTTCCCTAAAAAACTTAAAATTTGAAATAGTTTTTCTATATAAAATTTTGTAAATAGTTTCTCCATCTAAAAATTTCAAGTACATTCTCTATCTAAAATTTGATATTGTTTATCTTTCTAAAGTTTAAGATATTTTCCCTCTCCAAACTTTAAAATTTGAGATAGTTGCTCTATCTAAAATTTCCAAGTAGTCTCTCTAGAATTTTGATATACTTTCTCTCTCTAAAACTTAAAATGAGATAGTTTCTCTATCTAAAATTTTTAAAATAGGATCTCTCTCTAAAAATTTCAAGTACTTTCTTTATCTAAAATTTGATATAGTTTCTCTCTCTAAAGTTTTAAGATATTCTCTTTCTAAAACTTAAAATTTTATATAGTTTCTCTCTCTAAATGTTTTGAGATATTTTTCACTAAAAAGTTTTAAGCAATTCCTCTCTTTAAAATTTTAAGATACTTTCTCTCTCTAAAGCTTATGATTTGAGATAGTTTTTCTCTCTAAAATTTTAATATGGTCTCTGTAAAACTTTACATTTGATATAGTTTCTTTTCCTAAAATTTGGAAATAGATTCTCTCTCTAAAATAATATGTATATTTTCTCTCTCTAAAAAATTGTATACTTTCTCTCTCTAACTTTGATATAATTTCTCTCTCCAAAATTTAAATATGTTTTCTTTATCTAAAATTTGGTATTGTTTTCACTATCAAAAATTTTGATATTTTTCTGTTTTTCAATGGCAAAATGGTTATTTCCATGAAATGCCAATTCCATAAAATGTCAATTCCACCTATTTTTGATGGAAATGAGATTTTCAAATTTTAGATTTAAAATGAGTATTTAGAAATCATATGAAAATCTCAATTCCAACAAAAATGTCAATTCTAAGCAAACCAAACATGATTGGCCTAGCTTTTTCAAGAAAAGTGAGTCCTAGAAAATCCAAATCCAAAGAACCAAACGGGCTGTAAGTTGTTTTTCCTATGTTCATTAATTGGGAAAGCAGGGCTTAAAATGAGCAACATTATATATACTTTAGAGAAATTTACACAAATATCCCGAATTACTAATATTTAAAAAATCTCCTTCAAATGTTCGTTATACATTCATATCCATTTTTCTATTATTATTATTATTTTTTTATTGTGCTTACTTCCATCAAGGTTTGAAATTGAGTTTGATATTTTGACAATTTGAACTTTCAAAATCTGAATTGTATTAACGAAAAAACCCTCATATATGAGAATCAAAGTTAGGGTTTTGGACAACTTCAAGCCTTGTACTTAGACCTCAACTCGAAGTTATCAAACTTCATCCTGAACCTTGGCGGTTTGCAGTTGTTGGGGAAATCTAGCAAAAATAGAAAAAAAAAGAACAAAAAGAACAAAAAACAATCCTAAATAAGGGATATTTGGGGGTATATATTCACATTAATTTCCCTTTGTAAATTAGGAAAGTAACTTGCCGAGGCCGATTTTCAAAAACCCCTATTGGAGAGAGATTCCAAGAGAGATTTCTATTGGACAAGATATTTTTTTTAGTAATTTAGTAGAAACGATCCTTACTTGGTTTTTGAAATCGTTCATAGTTTTTTAATGTGTTGGGTGAGAGTGAAAGCCTAGACGTAGTTGGGGCACCACCACGACACCAACCACATACCATTTAAGTATGTACTTTCAAGGCAACCAATTTTGGTGTTTTATTAGCGTGTGAATATGAAATTTACGATGCTTAGCACCTGGGAAAACCTTCTATATTTGAGTGCATATAGCATATGCTCTCGGGGAAGCATGCTATACATTAACTCATACAAAAAATACACTTTCGATTTTTATTTTATTTTTTAAATTTTTGAGATCCATCTAAAAATAACTAGATGATTGTTTTTTAAAAAAAAAAAAAATGTCTTAAATATTTAGATCTTGCCTTGCAAAGTTGATCGCTACTCTCAAGTAGTTGCAGGTCCTAAAAAATACACCTAGCTTGAAATTTACTGAAAAATACTCCTAACTTGAAATTTACCCAAGGGAGCAAATTAATAGTATGCTCCTATAAGAGGAGCATATATATTTTGGCTCTACATTATAGCCATGGGGATATTTATGGGCTAGGGTTACATTATATCCACTGGGAACTATTGCTTGAGATCTTCCCAAGGAGCGCTTTGCATTTACTTAGAAATCGTCAACAGCAGGATTCGAACCTGCGCAGGCAAAGCCCAACAGATTTCGAATCTTTCTCCTTAACCACTTGGACATGGGGATGGGAGATCATTTGATTTTTATTTATTAATTGTAAAATCATGTACCAATTATACCTCCCACTTCGGTAATTGTAAACTTATACTAATTAGTCGGCAGCTTCCCATTAAGCTCATCATCAATATCGATATCGACATCATCATTGTCTTCAATACTATTATTATCATCAATAAGATAGCTTTTAGGCTGGTAATCCACGGACTTGTTCGGAGATACTGTAATGGAAGGAAGGTAGGAGTTTGTCATTATGTATTTGACTAAATAGGGTTTGTCCAGTTCCTAAAGAGAATCAAAAAGTTATGGTGGAGCAGGTGTAGATCTCAGTTTTCCTCCAATGAAACGAATCACATATTTATTTGGAAAGAAATGCATTGACCTAAATTACAAATATATATTCAAGGGTGCTATGAGGTACTGCAGCCTACACCGGCCACAAGCCGAGCTTGTCATAGCCCTAGCCTGGGCCTAGCCTTAACCGAACCCCGATTGGGCTAAAGGGGCACTGAGCCATGCACCATTCGGGGCCTTGGATAGTGGCCCAAGCTAGTCCCTGTATGGGCTAGCCTGTGCTGGGCTAAGCCAAGCTAGACTAGACATGACCCCATAACCATGGGGGCCGATGTGTTATAGCCCTAGCTCAGCCTTTGGGCCAAATCTTATGCACATGCTATGGTTTTTAAGGGCCAGGCCAAGCTGCTCCATACATTGGGAGCCCTAAGCAGCCATTCTTAGGAAAAAGTTTATAAGAGACATCGACTTAATATATAAAAGTAAGGTACACTTTAAAAACCTATGAAAAAGGTTGTCTTTGAT